CAGTAAATAAAGAAGTAAAGCAAACAATTATCTCTTCTAGTTATGACTTTTGTACTCGGTTGCTGCTTCATGTAAGTTGCTAAGCCTTCAAAACTTTTGCACGTGGAGGATATTAAACAAAATTTTTTTTTTTTAGGTTTTATATGTACATTTGAATAACTAAAAAATCACAAATTACTACATTAATACCACAGAATTCCACTATAATTTATCCAGCTTAGTAACTAAGATGTATATTACTCTAAAAAATATGAAATTTCGAGCAGACTTATTACTTGTCAACCTACCTCATTGAAATCTTGATTTAAAAGATTATCTGAAAATCCTTTTTACAGTTTAATTATTATGCAAAAACTGAAGCAATAAGAGGAGCACTCAGTAGAGAGCAAGCATCTGCCACTCAGCATTGATCATATTCGATCCTCAAAAAAGTACAAAAATCTGTCAGTATGTCTGTCATTATCAACAGACATGGATCATTTTTGGCAGGACAATGAGGAATAATATTCTACATATATCCACCAAATTTCATCAAAATCTGATCATTTTTGACACAGTTATAGAGTAAAAAATAGTGTAATAAAAGCAGATTTACAGTACTTCCTTCTTCTTTATAATTTAAAAATTAGAAACTTATTACTTTAGATGTGAAAACTGAAATAAAAAAATTAAATAAATGAATTTCTCCATGAAGAATGCGTGTGAACTGCCATCCATCACATAATTCATTAGTTTGTATACAGTAACTTGTACTAAGCTCTCACTGGTGATTCATTGCTTTGTTATGCAACTTAGACATGGTTCAAATAGCAATAAAACAATAAAATTAAATGAAAACATATTTGAACTGTTATGAGTTTGAGGCTCTCTAGGACAAGTTTCTATAACTGTCTGTTATAATCTAGAGTAAAAAAAATGTACTTTTGATTTTATTTCATAATTTTCAACTTTTGCTACAATCAGTTTTAGGGTAGAGAAAATAAAAGATAAAATATAAAGTTTTACTAAAAAAAACTTGATATTCACTTAAGAGATTCTAGAGGTTGTGTAAAAAAATATGAAATTTGTATGATGAAAAAAAGTATTTTCATTCTTAAAATGAAAACCATCTTGCACTCAGACTAGTCAGTGTGTGGGCCAGACTGACTCAGTAAATTCACAGATAAATCTTTAGTAAAAATACTTAACTAAATAATTCTGTTTTTTTGTTTGTGCAACATACTTGTAACATTTATTAACAGCTTACCAAATTGTGTTAAGATGCACATACTAAATTCAAAATTCTAGTAAACATTGCTAGTTGTATAGTTGTATAGTTTCACAGAAAAAGGTTTTGGAGCATCACCTTTTTATAGAGTTGCACTCAAAATTTAACTAAACTACTTTACTATCAGCCAGTGTCAATAAACTTTGTATCAAACGATAATTTGTAATTCAAATTTCAATATAAGTTTTGATTTTTTAATTTCAAAAGGAAAAATTTATGTATCATGTGACTTTCTTTGTTCCGAATGACCCTTTTAAGAAATTCTTTACACCCCTCTATTATTTTCCAAGTTTCTAAGGGCTTACACATTTATACATTAGACATCCCAGAGATAAAATGAAAATTTATAGCATCTATTTTTACTTTAGTGAGTTATATCCCATAAACTGAAACTCGCATGCCACACCCTACTATCACATACTGACTTTAAAAAATATGAATAATTCTCTTTGGTATTTGCTACTAGATTAATTATAACCAATAGAAAAAAATTTAAGTTACTACTTTCTTTATGAGATTAGCTGTGAGTTATTTTGTATCAATTTGATAGTTTGTTATTGCCAAGATCACTTCAACATGCTGGTAAACTCAATAACATGTTTACAAAAAAGCTTCTCCACTGTAATAATTTGTTTTGGCACTAATCTAAGTGGCAGCAAAGCAATAAATCTAAATTAGATTTGGCTGTAAGAATAAATAGTGGTAATTGTCTGTAACAATATGCAGTATTCTAGAAAGAGTAAAAATGTTATTTAGAAACAATAACAGTTAAATATAGTTTTTACTGAAACAAAAAGAAACTTTTGATATTTATTTAGGAGGTTCTAAAGGTTGTGCAAATGAAATCTGAAACTGTAAATATGAATAAAAGTATTTTTAACCTTAATATGAAAATCACCTTACACTAAGACTTTAGTAAAAATACATAAAAAATCTGTTTTACAAAACTACTTGTAAAATTTACTAAATGTTTCTAAAAATACATTTACTACATTAAAAGTTACAATATGTCAAGTTTCATGATTGTTACAAGACTGGTAAAAAATGACTGAGCTCATATATGGAGAGTTAATTTGAAAGATGGTGCATTGAGTTTGAAAGTCTATTTTTGTATAATATAAAATTTGAGACTTTCAATCTTTGACAATAAAAACATCATTCTATTTGCATATATTCATCAGTCAAATTAGTATATCCTACTCAATAACTGCTACCATTTCAGCATACAGCCAGAACAAACACAGTTTTTGTTTCTAATCTTTAATACAATCATTACATGGTTTATATAAAAATGAAGAAAAATAGTAAAAGTTGACTTTGAATTAAGTATTTATACAAAGTGTTGTATAAAGTTATCTCTTTCAATAATGTTATGTCCTACCATCCTCTACTGTTTGCTGTATGGTTTATGTATTCATAAAACTTTGTCTATTGAAAGAAAATATTAATAATTATCACATAAATTTTTTATTTTCTTTCTGGAATCTTTTTTTTTCTCATGATTATTAGGATATTGAATTATTCATTTCTGTCACTTTGCACTACAAGATTAAGACATGACTCTATTACAAACTTAGTAAAAAACGTGGATGGAAAACTGTGCACATATATATTAAAACTTACCAGTGTTAGAACTTTAATCATTGTGTCTATATGCCACCTTTTTGTTGGAGCATGTCTGCAAAAGGAAAATAGCAAACTGTGTATTTGAGGCAGAAAAATAAAACATTTGCAGATCTTTGGCTATATTATCTTTTTATAAGCTCTGATATCAAAGTTAATCAAAGATTCACATGTTCTAAGATACATAAAATACTTCATATCTAGTAAAATTAAAATAACTTTCAGATACTACATATTTCTTCCCAAAGTACTCAGATTACAGTCTTTTTAACTCTGATACCCATGCTTTTCAAGTGTTATAGATACACTAAATCAGAAAAATATAAAACTATTTTAAAATATTCAGAAGATAAGTTGTATACAGAAGAAAAAGAATATTCTGAAAGTCAAATAAAACAAAATGAAAAAATTTGAAAGTGAATAGAGGGAGTTTAAAATCCTGATTATTAGTTTGTCAAGTGTAACTCAATCACATACCTAAGAAAAATATATAATTTACATTACACAGTCTATTATTTATTAGTCTTTATAATATACTCTTAATTATTTCAATAGACCCTTTCTCACAACAGAAAGGTTTTTACTAGACACGGGTCACAATATGATATGTACTGTGATACGATGTTTACAATATAACAATATCATAATATTTCTCACCTCTTATAAATCCAACATAAGCTATCATAATTATTATCCAATACACTGATACATTACAATTTATTACCCCATGATACACATCGTATCATGACCACCGTATTGTATATCTCATGACACATGGACTCATCAAAAACAATGACCATTGAAGCATAGCACCCACCAGCATCCTAGCAAAGCTGATCTCTGCATTAAAATGTCAATCTTAATTTTTGCTAGAATCTACCTTAATCGGTTTGCTACTCAAGTGAAAGTCTTCTTAACTGCAGGCAACATTGTTACTCATCCCAGATGAACAAATGTTCTTGAATTCAATAAACTTTGAAAATATTTTGGATCTTCACAATTAATTTATCAGACTTTTAATGCATTAGTGCTTAGAAATTTAATGCTGAAAAAATATACAGAAAAGCTATCTTCTTGATGAAGACTAATCTTGTACCTTACTTATTTCAACTTACAGAAAACCATTAAATTATAAACAATGTTGTTACAATGCAATTTAATTTGAGCTTACACCTTTTTGATTTATCATATTGAAAATGTGTTATCTTGTTCGTAACATAATCATTTGTTGTTGAATTGACACCATCCGTAGTACTGGTGAATTGTGCTATCACCACCACATCGTACATTGATGAAACTTCTCCCAGTATCAAAACACAAGAAAAATAATATTTTGACATTCCATCACAAATTGTATTGACACTGTCATGTAACATATTCATGGTAATAACTTTCTCGTAGTACAAAGTCATTGCAATTCTTCAAGTAGTCTTTAATAATATTATGCATTATAAGTGTACTGAAAAGTTTTGAGTCAGTCTCTTTTTCAAGTAAATATCCCACCTGGTCTTAATACTCAAACCTAGTCAACCCCCACCTTTAAGAGATGTCTGCCTCCTCTGACATATTTTGGAACTTTTCAATCTTACAAAAATTGAATACAAATTTAGAATATCAGAAATTTATACAGAATATAAATATATTAATCCTTTCATTACCACTTGGGTCCATGAATCCATTCGTACAGCAAAATTTTTCAGGGAAAAAAAAATATATATGCTGCTAAAAATAGCTAGAATGAGCTCTTACTTTTGGACGAATTTCATTCACTGCCTCTAAAATGTTTCACAACAAAATATTTATCCAATTTTTACATTTGTGCCACTTTTTTTCTTTTTATAGTTTAATCAAAGAATTTCAATTGACTAAATATACAAAACTAATGTTAGGTATTGGAAAAAAAAATCTTGCAAAACTTCTGAACAAAGGGTAAAATCAGTCGATTGAAATTTGTAATCAAAGTTCCAAATATACAGAAAATTATTTTGGCAAAAAATCCAATAATCATACTCTAGATACACTTATTTAATTTTGTAGAAATCAATGTTCTACATTAAACACATACCTTCCAACGTTGTGTATGTACAAAAAATCACTCTGAAAATATCATGGTCTGAAACAAGTGACTACATCTGAAAATTTATGGTATCAAACAACATATGTAAAATAAACTCTAGTTTTAATTTTGAATTTGTATAAAGTTTGTTTTAAAAAAAACTAATTAACTTTTTATGAAGAGTTTGCAAAATTATGTTAATATGGAATAACTATGGGTTTTAAATGTACCCTTAAACTATCTTACCTATCATTTAATACAAATTAATATTTATTAAAACCCTGAAGTATTTTCAACTAAAAAGCTACCATTAGAGAACACGTAGTTTATTAAATATTCCCGAAGCCTTATCTTACACTTCTGCTGCGACAAACAGTTTGGAGGAGCAAATTGCTTTTGACTCAGGACCAGCACTTTCGATAAATGACAAGAGGTCTTTGGTAACAGTTCTAATGTTATTAGAGTTGATGAGAGCAAAACACAGTTCCATTGCTCTCCTAGAAAAAGAGAAACAATAAATTATAACTCAGTAACATCACATAGTTCCAGATCTCTCCTATACAAACTAAACATATTAAGTTATAACTCAGTAACATCACATAGTTCCAGATCTCTCCTACACAAACTAAATATAATAAGTTATAACTCAGTAACATCACATAGTTCCAGATCTCTCCTATACAAACTAAACATATTAAGTTATAACTCAGTAACATCACATAGTTCCAGATCTCTCCTACACAAACTAAACATAATAAGTTATAACTCAGTAACTTCACATAGTTCCAGAGCTCTCCTACACAAACTAAACCTAATAAGTTATAACTCAGTAACATCACTTAGTTCCAGAGCTCTCCTACACAAAATAAACACAATAAGTTATAACTCAGTAACATCACATAGTTCCAGAGCTCTCCTACACAAAATAAACATAATAAGTTATAACTCAGTAACTTCACATAGTTCCAGAGCTCTCCTACACAAACTAAACATAATAAGTTATAACTCAGTAACTTCACATAGTTCCAGAGCTCTCCTACACAAACTAAACATAATAAGTTATAACTCAGTAACATCACATAGTTCCAGAGCTCTCCTACACAAAATAAACATATGTTATAACTCAGTAACATCGCATAGTTCCAGATCTCTCTTCCACAAACTAAACATAATACGTTATAACTCAGTAACATCACATAGTTCCAGAGCTCTCCTACACAAAGTAAATACAGTACGTTATAATTCAGAAACTTCATGTAATTATAGAATTCTCCTAGAGATAAGAAACAGCAACTGTAACTCAGAAACTTCACCTAGCTCAGGAACTCTACTAAGTAAAATGAACAAAAAATGTGTATTTCAAAATCTTCAATTTTCAATCAGTATACATTTTTAAATAATTAAAAGAACATTTAATCACTAAACCTTTGATTCATAACATTTTTAAATGTAATGCAGCATAAAAAATGGTTTGATTTTAAATCCACCTAATTTATTTATCAACTTTTTCTGTAATACATTTATAATATCATGAGACAAGTTTCTAAACAACTACTAAGCACTATCTATTAAATATTTTTTAAAGATCAATTCAGTCTAAAATAAAAGAAATACCAAAAGAAATATTCCAATAATACAATTTTTCCAAAGAAGTCATTTAAATGCTAAAATATCAACTGATCAAGATTACTGATCTGATAAAATATTAACTATATCAACAATCTGATTCCCAGACTTTTCAACAAACTCCATTTCTCTATTACAGGAGTTTAATGCTCTTGTTTGCTTGGTGAACTTCATAATATACATATATTTATATCTATCACAAGAAATCAATTGCACAACTCTATGTATTAACTATATGGAATATCACAAAATTTAAAGCATCACAAATTCTTAATTTCCACATACGCATGAAAAGTAAACACATTTAACCCTACATGTACAGCACGGCACTGATGCATTGCACCAGTCCCCTTTCCTTTACTGTCATTTTGTATTTACTACCTGTTTTATTCATGAAATTTGAAAAGCTTTTAGTACACAATACAAGTCTGTTGTATATAATAAATCAGATTTTTAGATTATTTTTACCAAAGATCTGACTATTTATGGAATCAGTCTGACTTCACTTGAATTACACATTCATATCTTGTGATGTGCTCATGCTATCAGAGTACTTTATTTAATTTTTGTTTCATTTAAGTTTTCTTAAATAATTTTTTAATTTTTATATTTTAGTAAATTTTATAACAATAAATAAGAAACGTACATTTAAAAAAAAAAGAAATTTAGTACTCAAGTCTGGATTTTTTTGTTTTTTTGCTTTCACACCCCAAACAAAATATAACTTCTTTTTTAACAACATTTGTAGTACATAAAATAATTTATATTTATTTCAAATGCAGATATTAGAACACAAAATATTATCATACACAAAAATAGAATGTCCTAAAACTACTGTAAATTTAACTGGATTTCTAACTAAGTTTTAAATGAGCTAAAAAACTTTGTTAACTGGTCAAGGTCATCTGCACAATTCAAATAATGAAAATTAGACCAAATAATTCAAAACCTGTCATCAGAACATGCAGGGCTCATAGACAGTTCAGTAAATTAAAATCTTTTCTTCTTCTTGATTATAAATAGTTCAATAACAAATGTCATAAAATAATTACTGACATTTTTTGTAAGACAGAATTAATTTACATTATGGCTCAACAGTGTCTATACTATAAGTGTACACTTTGTAATAAACTCAGGTCATATAGAGGTAAAAAATAAAATCTAAAATTGACCATTTTGAGCAAAGAAGTGTCATATGATACAAGGAAATGAAGATTGAGAACTACTTAAATATTTCCTTTTGCAATTAAGAAATTAAAACTTGTACAATATTTAAAATTTGAATTATAAACTATGTTTTGATGCCAAGTTTATCAACACACATTGACAATAAAATTGCTTAAATAAATTTTAAATGTAACTGTAAAAAAAAAAGTTGTGATATGCATACTTTGACTCCACCTTATGCATAGGTTGTAATATAGTGGCTTATTTGAAATATATTAAATTGGCATATTAGATTTGGGATTCAAAATATTTGTGTATTTGATCTAGCAGTTAATATGTCTTAATGTTACTAATATGAAAGTCATATTATGTTTCAAATTATTTAAACATATTCAGTGTATATATAAATAGCATTGAAATACCTTTGTATAGACACATCAGGATCTTTCAAACAGTCCAGAACCGTGTTCCGATGTCTCTGCACAGCTCCATTATCCACGTTCACCGTCTGAAGTAAGGTATTCAAGGCCACATATCTGCAACAATTTTATAACTTTTAATTTAGAATCATTATCAAAAAGAGCTAAAAATTAGTTGATAAGCTAGTACTTTAAAAAGAACATCCTTTACTGAAGTACTCACAAACACAAACAAGTTGTTTTACCTGAACTATTCCCACAACCACTAGCCACTGTATCAAATAACTTTAAACTGGTAATTTATAACTAGAGCAAAATCCAATACCAGAAAAAATGTTAATTGATAAATATTCATGGAATCATAATCAAATGTTAAAAAAATTCCCATTCCAAAATCTACCCACCATCTTCAAAATGTTAACGTAAAGAAACAATTTTTAACTGAAAGGCTATTTTTATAATCATTACCCTTATCAATAAAATTCTTGAATGAAGACTATTCACAGATTCATCATCAAAATAACGTCACTTTTGAGCAACATTATTTCTAGAATCATAATCAGTGAGAGATAGAAAGACTTTAAATGTTTTTTGATTTTGCACAAAACTACTTGAGGGCCATCTGCACTAGTTAATTTTGAAGTGATAAGTTAGAGGGATGGCAGATAGTCAACATTACCAACTGTTGGGCTACTCTAATCAGACAGTGAGATTTTATTATCTCTCTTAAAACATACCCAGAACCCCAAATTCACAGTCCAGTGTATTAACCATTGGGCCACACTCAGCCTAACTTTTAAACAAAACATTATTTCAACACTAAACATCTGATCTAACATATAACCATCCTCATTAACCATTTATAAAAGAAATTACTGAATGAAAGACTAAATCTTGCTTAATAGTTTAATGAGAGAAAAACCATTGTTGAACACATTTTGAAGAAGTACTATCACCCACCTAAAGTAAATTTAAGGTGTTTCATTCAGTATGAATAATTCAAAATGCTGTGGCAGACTATTTGTATCAAGACATAGCAAATCTTTAATTCAAATTATCTAATACAAATTACTGATGAAAACAAACTTCACCAAGTTTATGACATGTAAAATTAGAGACCCTTAAAATTTTTAACATTACAAACTTCAACAAATCAACTGCAATCCTAAACTCAAGCAAAAACTGTTCAATTTATAACAAAGGCTGATTAAAATTACTTTGCACAAACATACTATTTATTAAATTTGAAGTTCATAAACTAACATTTTCTAATCATTTTCTTCAAAAATGTTAATGTACCACATAGCCTTTAATATACTATGATGACATTAACTCAGAATTTCCTATTCTCAGCAAATATAAGTATATAAAAATTGTATAACAAATATGCTTAAAGTCATTTGTACAATAAACAAGTTAGTCATCTTACGTTCTTTTTTTATGCCGTGAACAAAAATAAAAATGGTCATAAATTTTATTTTCCATAAGCCATAAACAATTTAATTTTATTAGGTTCTGGAGTTTATATTTAATAACAGAAATGTTTTATAATTTATAAAAAATGTTACTAAAACCCTTATTCTTTCAATAGCTAAAAATCCTTTTTATTATAGATTACTGAGAAATCAAAACAAAGATCTGTTTGTTTATTTTACCATAAAAATATACATAAGATTACTTTATCTGAGAGCAAACCAATGAAATATTGAACTTGGAAAGAAAACACATTCTAAAAAATCTAATATGGCATACCTTATATTTTTGTCAATATTCAGCAAAAACCTTCCTAATATATTTACTCCCAACACCTGAAACAAAAGTAATAAGCTTAAGTTTGGAATGGTTAAAACAGCTAGTCAAGTTCACCCCTTCTGTACTGATAGTTATACCTAAACACAACAACAAACAGAACATTATAAGGGACTTTATAATGATAAAGTAACATCTACATAAATAAAAACTACATATAACAAGAAATTTTGGTACTCGACTTATCAACTTTGTGTCCATCAGCATATTAAATGCAAATACAGCCTTATATCAACACACAGCTATCTTGAACTTTGGGTCATTCCTTTCCGAGACAATCCATGTACAATTATATATGCCTATCATTAAAAAAAACTTAAATTTTACTTTGTTTTTTCACATTCTTTAAAATATTGCCAACTTCAAATTTCAGATATTTTCTCTAAGAAACAAAATTTCATTTAACTTCTTTTAGTTTTTTATACTTATAAGTTGTTTTTTTTTCTTACAATTTCAACCAACTCGATATGGCCAAGGAAAACCTTGAGATACATTTCTCTCAGCCACCAACTAAGATTTTAATAAGAAGTTTTACTTATTATGTTCAAAGTTAACACTCACACTTTTCTGCCACTTCTTTATATTATCTTAATGTTTCAGACAGATTCAATACTTTCAAACATACTGGTCAGTTAATATCCTGACCAATACTGCCATCAAAACTAATAGAGAAGCTCCACAGGGTGTTTGCAACAGTGAAATGTCAGCCAGAAATTGAGAAATAAATGCATATTAACAAATAAATACTGGTCTTCTAAATGTAGATTAGTGTTGCTTTTTTTTTATAGCAAGTAGTTTTACCACTATGTATCATCAAATGTCTAGTTGGTTCTACAAGAATTAAACATCCAATATAACAATCACTATTCATCAACATCACTCAAGTAAAGTTATTGTGATAAGTGCAGTGATCACTATATCTAACTACATGAACCTGTGTTTAGTGGTTGAAATAATTTTATGAACAAAACATTAATTTTTGTGATTTGTACTTTTAATATAATACATTATATAACAAGAACTAACTCTATGCTTGTTACATTCAAAACCAACTAAACGGACACTTGGTATCTCATAAATATTGAATATCAGTATTCTAATGTTCTGTTACACTACAAAAATTTGAGAAATTAAAAATTTCTATGGTACTAAATTTATTTATAGCACATTTATACATCATTCATGGTTAATAAAAAGAAGCCTTACCAAAGACTTTTTTTAGGTTCAGTAGCCATCTAACACTGAAGTTACTTATTTATAAGCATGAAAGAAGTCTACGATAATCAGAAATTTGTACTTTTTGCTTAGTTTATCATATATGAACACTATACTTACCCTTAAACCACTCTCAGATTTGATTCCCATTATAGATAAGACGGTTTCATATAGGATAGCATTGCCTACATTTTTACTTGTTTCTGTATTTGTAGCTACCTAAAAATCAGCACAAAAACATATACAAATTTACATGTAATTTTGGTATATGCAGCTTTGAAAATCCTATTATACTTGTTTTAAAAAATCTTTAAAATTCTTCTACAAAATAAATAAAATACAAATTAGTTTTGAACAACACTAGTCCCTAAAACAATTTCTACTGGCATAATTAATTTTTAGAAAAAGATGGAATATATTTTTAAAAAGTTACCTACTACAAAGTTTAAATATGCTCCAAACAGAAAAAAATTTAAATAAAAACTCAAGTGCCACGAAAAATGTATTTGATTTTGAAATATTTTTAACAGTTCACCAAAACTATAAAAACTAAAACTTTGGTAATTTGGGTTGGATATTTGGAATTTATTTAAGGAAATGATACTTATTTACAGTAAATATTAATTAACAAAAACAAAACTGAAAAATTTTCCAGTTCTGCACATTAATGATTACTATATAAATTCGTTTGTAAATCACTTGTTTGTTTTTTTAATGAAGAACCATAATTACCAATAATTCTCACATTCTGCAGTCAACATTTGGTTATTTTCTCTGTTTTAATCTAGATTAGATAATATTTTCTTTACTATCAAGTGAACATGATTTATCTCTTTGTTCCTCCTCCTTCACCAGTATAAAAGTTGCTTATGTTTAAAATTAAATTTTCATTAACAAATTTTCAAGGTGACTGGCAATAAGACAAGATGTGTACGAGTTTAATAACCAATTCATTGTCCCAATATTTTCTTGACACTGATCACAAAATGAGCAGCAAACATTCATGGAGTGTTTGTTTAGTGTCGTGACATTCAAGTAAAATTATAAATTACTAAATATATTAAGGGGTCATTCATAATTTCTGACACTTTCATGAGTGTACAAAGTATATTATGGGGGGGGGGGGTTAAGAGATATGTAGGCTTTTAAAAAACCTTGAGAGGACATTGTTGTTTGCTACTAATAAATAACTTGCAAAAGTGTTGACCAGCAGCAACTCTGGCAAACTTGTAGATTTAAACACCTCACTTCTGTTTCCCAATACTCTATTTATAATGACTAATATTCAATAACTTCACTATTTTTTGTGTATGCAGAGTCTCAAAAAAAAAGCATGTTTTGAGCACTCATGAAAATGCCAAAAACTGTGAATGAATCCTAACAAATATTTTACAGTCAATCATTTTGATATCTATGCTTGTAAAAAGGTAACATATTTTCCCAGTTATATGTCCCAGATTACCACATACTCAAGAAAAGATAACAACAAAATGATTATTACAGTTAAATAAAGGTGTTAAAAATTTTCACAAATTATTTTCATATATCCTAACACAACTAAATAAATGCAGCAAGAAAAGAATACTTGTGCCAAAATGTCATTCATAATTTCACTGGCTTCATCATCCTGTTTTCCTAACACTCTAAGCAGTCTCAAAATTTTCACCTGAAAAAAACAAGAGTAACGTTCAATAAAAAAAAAGGTTACACTGAATAAAAAATACACAAACCAACACTATTAACCTTTATACAAAGTACATGCAATATTTAAGGCATGCTCAAATTCAGATATCTGACTGCAGAATTGTTTCATGTAGATATGGCAACCTACATCTTCATGGTGCAGCTTAAATCTACAGGAACTGTGCACATATCTTGAAGCCTTTAATGATAGTTATAGTCTAATAAAAATATCTCTATTCAAGTGAGGGTTGGGTACTCTGTTTCATGTTTTGATTCTGACTCAACAGTTTTTGTTATATAATTTGTAAAAACAAAAAGTATCAGTAGTACACAATGTGTCATCACATAGTAAGAAAAGAGTACAAAAAGCCATCATGTTAAAGAGCCAGTTGAAAATGCATAGCCATTAACCCTATATATGAAGTTGCATATAACAATGTTTACTATAATTCTGGATTTACTAAGAGCATTTTCACAAAATTTGGTAGGCTGGGCTTTTAGTAAACATTACAAGTGTGTTGTACACAAAAAGACATACTTTTTAATAATGTATTTTTACTAAAAATACATTATTAAAAGTATTTTTACTAAAAATTTGTTTCAGAACTTACTCAGTCACTCTGACTTAGATGCTGACTAGTCTTAGTGCAAGGTGATTAGAGATTTTTGGGACAAAGAATAGTTTTTTATTCATGACATGAAAATCACTTCGCACTCAGACTAGTAATGAAACAGACTCGATATTTTCACAAACAAATCTTTAGTAAAAATGCTTCATTAAAAAATCTGATTTTTTTTTTATGTACCAAAGACTTGGAACCATTACTAAAAGTTTACTAAATTTTGTGAAGATACATACACAGCATTAAACGTTATAGTATAAATACTTAAGATGTACAAACATGTATTTTATACCAAGCCCATTGCTAAAGGGTTAACAGAATATTAAAAAGAGTTTGTCTCTGAAAATTTTCACAAACTTTTCTTTTGTCTAAATAGATAATGACTTAACTCTGCAGTACTGGTATTTTAGCCATGATGGTACATTTCAAATACAAGCACGTGTTTGTTGAGTTTTGTGCAAAGTTACTCAAGGGCTATCTGTACTAATAATTTCTAATTTTGAAGTGACAGACTAGAAGAAAGGCAGCTAGTCAATACTACCCAATGCTAACTCTTGAAATATGTTTCATCAACAAATAATGGGATTCACCATCAGATGATAATACCCCCCCATGGCTGAAAGAGCTAGCAGGTGATGAGTTTCATTCCTACAACCCTCTGATTGCAAGTCGAGAGCCATAAACCACCAGATAATCCCCAGCCCCAAGAACCTTTATCAGAATAATCAGACCAATAATTTCTCCATAACTAAAACTTACATCATGTTAATCAAAATAATTAAAACAGCTCCACTTTACTTTAGAACTTATCAGTGGTGTAGCCAAGTATATGAACATGAGGCCAAAGACATCTTCAAGTATTAAGAAATTAATTTGCACATATAGATCTAATACCATAACCCACTAAACACTTTGCTGAGTTTTAGGTTTATCTATGTGCATAAAAATGATAATTTTCTTCCAGTTCCCATTTATGTATTGTTGAAAAATAATAATATTAACTGTGCAAGGTTATTAATCCTTTGAGAAGTGACTAAATTCCAGCAATTTCAATTTTCATTCAAAAACACAATTAAAAGTATTTCTGTGCAATAGAAGAAAATGAAAGTTAAACTTTTTGAACTAATATTATGTGTCAACATTAAAAGAAACACTCCTAAAAGCACCTTAAATCATGAACAAGCCACTCAATATAAAGCATATATATTAAAAAAAATAACAATAAGGTTGATTTACTAGAAAGTAAATAGTGTAAAAAACTAAGTACAAAGTAGATTACAGAACATATTGCAAAAAAAAAACAACACTAACAGTATTACAACATGTGTTATGATCCTTTAACATAAAATTGCAACAGAAATAACCATTTACACTTAAAATAATAACCCCTTTCACTGAGGTTTACTGGAACTCATACTTGTACATCAGTGTACTTTTGAATATTCTAACAAGTTGTAAAGCAAAGAAAAAAATTTCTAGGTAATGTATTTTCTCACTTTTTTGGATGCACTGTTTATAATTCTGCCTTTCATTAATATATCTCTTTTTAAATTAAAGATTTTTGTAACAGCAAAATATGCTATCATTACTGAGTGTGTGAGTATTAATTATATCGATACTAGCATACAGCCCATCAAAAATGACGGAGCAAGTACTAACACCTCCACCCCATAGTATACCCTAACCTCACATTTCATAGCTAACTGAAATAAACAGATTTTGTGAAATCAAAGTTGACCAACAAAGAGGCAGAAAAGTGCAGTAGATGCAGTCAAACATCGGTAAGTTCCTTTGTTGCCAATCAAAATTAAGATCATTCATGAAATGAATTTGTGGCATCTTCATATAATAATTATCGGTAAAAATCAGTTAGATTAACAACTTCTAATATACAGAAAAGCCAGTGTGTTTTGGTAACACTACATTCCAATAATGGCTTTTATGTAATGTTGCTCAGCAACAAAAGTATAACCTTATATTGTTGTTAGTCTATATACTGAAAGTATAAAATTAATTGTATAGACAACAAAACTGGAAAAACACATGTTGATTTCTTAATTTAGAGTCTCTGTTCATTAAAGAGGTTTGTTTTTTATTAAAAACATTAGTAATAAAATAGAAAATATCTTAATTCAGAAAAGATTTAAGTTTAAAACTGAATCAATATTTTTACTTTCACGATAGGCTAGGTGATTCCACACTACATCTTTACTTTAGGCTTATTATACCAGCACTCACTACACTTGTAAGGTTTCATGTCACACACACACACACCTTTACGGCCCACTTACACCCACATCACTAAAATCATAATGTACAGACAGAAACTGAACTATTCTGTCTGGATAAATACATTTTGGTTTTTATGATTCCTCCTATTTGAAGAAATCAAGTGTGACATGACATAGACACTGGCTTTCATATAAGTTAGATTAAGCACTAAAGCACACAAAAAAAACATTATGCTCCAGGATGTATAAAGCCCATACAAGAGCACAGCTACAATTTTTGATGTAATTAACCCTCTCGCTATGGGCTCAGTTAATTACACAAACCTCATGACTCCAAAGTAACCATCAGGGTTTCCATACTATAACTTTCAATATGTTTTATGTATTAAACAAAACTCAGAATTTTTAATGAAGTATTTTTACTAAACATTTGTCCAAGAATATACAGCCATGGTGTTGACTGCTCTAAGTGCAAAGTGATTTATACTTTTCATCTGAAAAATGTCTACTTTCACTTGCATAATCTCTAAAACCTCCTAAATAAATATCTAACTTTTTTTTTTCAGTAGAATTTTATATTTTATCTTGTAATTCGATACAGTAACATGAGCTGCATGTTTGCTGATTGATTTACAACTTGAGTGGTAGGATTATTAGTTAGATGTTTTTCAAAGGGCAATAAAACAATAAAGTTAAGAGTAAACAGATGTAAACTGTTACAATACTGTTGTAATTTTATGTTAGTATTTGTTGTCATTATAGAAAGAAAAAGGGTAATTTAGATTTATCGTTTTTTTTATGGTGGTTATTAACCAAATGGGTTTAGAGTTAGGGTAAAGAAAATAACATATGTAAGGAACAATCTGCTCACGAACAGTACCTCATGAAAATGTTTTTTGTTTTTTTTCATTATCTTAACTAATAAGTTACTAATTTTTACATTTTGTTACTTTTTATAATAATAAATAAAGAATACACATTAAAAACAAGAAATATAGTACTTATCTGGTCTTCTTTTTTTTTATTGTTATTGTCAAATGTAAATGAACTTAACCCTACTTTTTTCTACTAATGATACGACTACACTAAACAATATTTTATTTAATTCAATAATGCACCCAAGAACATAGAGTAATAAAATGTAAAAAGCAAAGAATGTCCTACAACTACCATAATTTTTCTGTGTTTCTGATTATGCAATAAGAGCCATTAAAAGTTCAGCTAAGCTCATAGACATGATTCCTTTGAGAATACATTTGAAACTGAATGATGAAACAGACAATGCCCTGTACAGAAAACAATGTAATATAATACATCATTTGATAGATTATAACTTTGGCTTTCTATTGTTTATAAATAATATAGTATAAAACATCAGCAGTTTGTGAAAGATAGGGTGTGACAGGTGCGCACAGCAAGTAGGTCTTATTTTCTAGTTTATGGTTTATAAGATTGAAGTTATAAAAATCATGCTTTGCCTGAGTAAATATCTATATTATAATGAGTAATTTACATTAAATTCCATTAATTCTTGGTAAATAAATTAAAGAGGGAATTAAAGAGCAAATGTCACAATTCTCGTACTAGGAGAGATTGAGAATCTTTTAAATATTTCATTGTAAAATTAAGAACTTGTAACTTATATAATATTAAAATTTGGTTTATTAACTACATTTTGATGCAAATTTATTCATATACAATGATAATAACAGAGTTTAATTAAATTTTGAATGTAACTCTCAAAACATTTGTGGCATGCACTTTGATCTGCCCATGGCAAAAGGATTGATACATCATCATCATTGTGTTTACTTCAGTTTTCCAATATACACTTTCTTCTCAGAAGTAATGTCTAATTGATACATTACCTGAAGAAAAGGATCATTGATACCATTCACATCATGATCAGGTGAGTAGCCTGCCATCACAAGATTTTTCAGGATCCGTACTAAGTTTGGTACAAGCTAAACAGGAAAATACAGAAAGAAATGTTTTATGTATATTACACAAAGTTTAGCTGATGCTAGTCTTTCTGAAGGGCAGATATCAATGACATATATAAATCTTATCATACAGTTTTCAAAGTGTAAGTTTAAATCTATGAGTTCTACACAGAAGCATAGCTTAAAAATTAATACTTTTAACACTAAAAAAACATATTTAGTAACTAGTTCATCTACTTAATTTTTGAAATTGGCTATTAAATAAAAGTGTACAAAATTACAGACTATAATTAAGATAGACACACACACAAGTCCTCCATATGTGGCCAGCTCAAAGAACATTTAATTTGATACTTAGGTAAAAAGCATTTCTGAAATTTAGAGGTTTTTAGTTCAATACAAAACTGTATATTAAGTTAGATAAAATGACTCTTATATAATCTGATATGAAAAAAATTAGAAAACTTAATGCATAATAATTCTTTTTTTGTTAAAACATTAAAATGTTTCGGTGATCTTATAACTCCTGATGATGGTACTGTAAGAGCACCAAAACATGTGGAGTCTAATATTCTAATAAACAAATTTACTATACATTAAGTTATTTAATCTTTTTTATGGTATATTAGTATATATTACAGGTTTGCTGTGATAACTAGTTTCATCCAAATCACTTTTCTCTGGTAACTTACAAATACTAGCCAGAAAAAATAGTAACACGATAATAACAGATATTCTTTTTAACAGTTTAGGCATCAGAGATAATAGTTTTAATGAATCACTGTAACTTTACTCTAAAATTGATTCTTAAACAAAGTATGTACCTTTTTGAAATATAGTAGTGTGTCTGAACACATGGAACATAATTCGGTGACTAGGATTACTCCAGCAACAAGTACACCTTATAAAAAATAACATATCATTACTAATAGCCAAGAAATGGTGAAAATAGATTTATCTTGTTTTTAAACCTATCTTTAACACAAAATACCTTTTCTTAACATAAGTTTATGAAAACAAAATACTCTCTGAGTTAAATTATTGAATTAGGTGGTCAAATATACTAAAAACAATAGAGAAAAAAATACTGTAATATAAGTAAATATATAAAGAAATATCAAGTTAAAAATACCACAATAATAACTTTTGATTAGACAGAGAGCTAAATACAGGGTTTAAGTCCATTTTTCAAAGTGCAATCAAAGATTTTCAAGCACTTTTCATGAACACACACATTATAATTTCTAGGACCAAAAAATAACATCATGCTACAATTCACAAGTGTTTAAAACCAACAGGCCTATAATTCTTTATAACAATCAATCACAAAACTGCAGATATTTGTTTTTCTTTTACATTCCTCTTAATTTATCGATATCAGCTTTTGGTGTTTAAACCATTACATTGGAAGATAAATAATTGGATACAATATGTGAAAAAGTATGTGTTACAGTTGAAAATTCAAATTTTTGAAAATATAATATGTTGCTTATAGCACTTGCTGTCTAACAACTGAACACAAAGAACATGAACAGTGTTTTCTAAAGCTAATAAAATCACTGTAAAAACACAGTGTTGAAAGAGAACCAAATATATTTTACCCAGCAATGTTTCAGGCAACTGTTCTTTGTTAAAACTTAATTTGATAATATAATACCTCTTAAAAAAAGCAGCACAAATCTAGTAAAGACTCTGTAATGGATAAATCAATGTTGTGTTTTTACAGTGATTTGATTTTATGACATTTATCTCTTAATGTTATGCAGGTTTCAATTATTCTGAAAACTTTTATCATTTCTACAACAATGCCAAGCTTAAGTGGTTTTTCAATATCTCTAAAGTTTATAGATTAAAAAAAACTTATGCATTGTTGAACATTTAAATAAAATGAAAGATTTATTCACTTATCAGTCACCTTTTGCAAAAATACTGTGTATGTTTTCTCAGGCATGTTATAGTGTTATTCTAATAAGCCTAAAATCTGTGGTAAAAATCACGTGAACTACAGATATTTTTTTTTTAGTATTCCAGACAATCCAGTATTGTTTTATATGTTCATAAGGATATTTGGAAAAATTTGGAGCCAGTGTTGTATCTATAAGCTACATAGTTTCTTTAATGCTTTGTAACAGTCCTAGGGAATCTTGTTTTAATGTTATTTCAATGTGGATATATTAACATAAAAAGAAACTTACAGTCTGAACTACCACATTAAAATATAAGGTTTTATTAAAGTTTGAAAGGTTAATAACACCTTATATTTTAATGTGGTACTTCAGCCTATAAATTTATATTTACATTGAACCAAGGAAGTTAACTGATCAAAGTTCCTTCTATTTATTATACAAACACATAACAAGCCAAAGTTAAAACCTATTACTTTGGATGTTCTATAACTAGCCTAAATGTAAAGTCAAATAATATAAAATGTAGAATAATGCCAACTTATTTTGTTACATAAAACTTTTGATAATTATAACTTCATTTTACAAAACTTTTAGCAAGTGAATAAAAAAAAAAAAGTTTATGTGTAGTTTTGCTACACATATGGCTATCTGCCACCATCCATAATTTTGAACTGCTGTCCAACTAATAGTGGGATTGATCATCACATTTAGACATGCCATGGCTGAAAGAGTGAGCATGTTTAGCAATGGGTTTTGATCTTATGGCTCTTTACTTTTAAGAGGATGTTAGAAACATCTTTTACATTAAGTAAAAAAAGCTTGTAACTTTTTGAACCAGTAGATCTTGCTATATCTGCATTTCAAAAATGCAGTTCAGTTATTTTTTTGTGCTTTATTAAAATTTCTTCTGTATATAACAAAATTCTGCATAAGCACAACCTTTGACTATCGATAAATAAAATGGTACTGGTCTGAATTTAAAGTGTTTTGATGACAGTATTAAAGAACTAAACATACAGTAACCACAATCTTACTGACCAGCTCTGGAAAGCATAGAACTCAAACAAGAATACACATGAATGACAAGGAGAAAAACCAATCTAAAAGTACAAACAGTGAAATATAATATATAAATTGAGTTAAGTTACATCTGACATATTTCATGGGGGCAGGGGCTTAAAAATGGGAAATGCAACAAGTAATTTTTTTTTTAAAAGTACTCAATTAAAAATAAAATTCCATGACTCTATAGTAAAATGGCAATTTTCCATGGTATTTCAGTACTGGTATTTTTTAAAGCAGTTTTCCAGAACTTCACAGCTTTTCAGGCACATGTAAAAAAACACTGTAAATGTCAAGTTAGAAAAATACAACAATGGTATTTGTTGATTCTGCAAGCCAAAACTATCTGCTGGACAGATCCCAGACTAATACATGTTAATAGCATAATCAGGTACACAAAACTGTCAACGTTTTTATAATACCAAGTAAGCATGGCTGGCTCTATTTTTAACTAATGTTGGCTACAGGTTTAAGAGCTAGACTAAAAGTAGAAAAAAATTACTTCATATTTCAATATACTTTTAATATATATATATATATACTGTACCAATAAAACTAAAAACAATTTTAGTCAATACGTTTAAGTTTATATGTTTTGGTCTAAGATATCTGTACAACAATTTCCCTCTACCTGCCAATCAACTTAAAATTTACACCAAGTTCAATCCTTAAGAAAATATAGAAATGTTTCAGTTATATCCCCTATAAGAACCCAATACAAAATACTAGCAAAATTTAACTAAATTGTAAGCACCCAACAACTTAACAAAGTCAGGCTTCAACAACATTTCTGATAATATAAATGCTCTTCATCAAAGTATCAACAAAGAGATAGCAAGAATTCAACCAAAAAATAAACCAAATTTTCTTAATCACTTACTTTTGGAATTTCTTAGCTACTTATAAAAACAAGTTTATGGTAATTTGAGGCCAAAATTCTCTCTCTTTCTTTACTTAATTTTTCTCAAAAGTAGAGTTATAGTTAGATGCAATTGTAATAATATTTTTTATTTGCTTTTATCTATTATTATAGCCAATGTTACATTAGTTGTTATACACCTAAATCTTTATGATAACTAATTCTATATTGTTCATGAATGTATTTTCTTAATGCTCTTCAGTTAACTTTCGTTCTACTTTACATTAACTTTCCTTAAAATATTATTTACATAGGTAGTGGAGGAATGTTTGTGTGGGGGAGGAGGTCCACAACCCACTCACACATTTCTAATAGAACAAAAATATATACTATCCTATATTAAAAGTTGGAATGAAGAACTGAGTAGAGAACATAGCAACAGGTGAAACTGCAATTGACTACATGATGTTATACGTTAATGATGTAAATATTCAGTTAGATTTATACCTCAAAATGTATACTTATTATGGTTTTTCTCAGTTAACTGAAAAAAAAAACCACAAATTTTTGTATATAAGTCCTGATATTTGTTAACTGAGCAAAATCTTAAGTATTTATTTTTAATCTTGATATCTGTTAATACAGACAAAGATTTAAAAATGAATATTTATCATGTTCTGTTTTTCAGTTAATAGAGATCTACTTTGAAAAATTAATATTTACCATGGTTCTTCTCAGTTAACAGAGATCTTGCTGCAGGTATAAACATTTCCAAAATTTCTGGTACTCTCTTGATAATGCGAAATGCACATAAAGCAGCCTAAGGAATAAAAATTTAAATTTTATACTATGTTATAAAATAATCAATGATAAGAAAAAATTAAATTCAACACTATAAATTCATTATAATCTTTAATAATTAACGTAAAACATTTACGCTTATTCTAGAATTGTACCAAAAAAATGTAGGGTAAGATGAGATCACTTTGAAAGAACCTAATTTGTAAAAAACAAAGTAACCATGAGATAAGTCATACTATAACTTTTGATAATGTGTGCATATCTTCACAAAATTGTGAAGACTATCAGTAATGTTACAATTCTTTTGTTGACAAAAAATCAGAATTTTTAATTAAGTATTTTTACTAAACATTTGTCTGTGAACATATGGAGTTAGAGTGTTGATTGGTCCAAGTGCAACATGATCTTTATGTTAAGATTAAAAATATTTTTCTTCATCTTAAAATTGTCAAATTTCAATTGTGTAACCTCTAAAACCTCCTAAATAAATCTCAAATGGTTTTTCTCCACAAAAACTATTTTTTTATCTGTTATTTTCTCTACTCTAACGCTATACGTGGTTGGCCAATTTGACCAACCTCACAATCCCTACAAAAATTAGGAAACAAATCTAAATTACACTTTGTTCTTTCTCGAAAGACTGCAAATTGTAACAGGAAACTACCACAATTGTTTATCCTAAATAGCTTAAAGCTCATAACAGTGAATATTTATACTTAATCTTATTGTTTTATTGACTTTTTGAACTATGTCTAACTAATAATCCAGCCACACAAGTTTTAAATCACTTGGCAAATGTACAGCTCATATTACCAAATCAACTTATGTAACATACCGGCTGCTCACAGTATACCCTGTAAATATTTTTTTTTTAATCTTACCTTATCTAACTTAATTACTTTTATAACAATAAACAAAGAATATACATGAAAAACAAGATACACAGTACTTATGTGTATCTTCTTTATTTTTGCTGTCGACTGTCTGTGAAACTTAAGTCTACTTTTTAATATTAATGGTAATACTAAACTAAATATTTTTTTTTATTTAATTACATAAGGCACCTAAGAACACAAAATAATAACATGCAAAAAGCAAATCTCGTCAATGTGTTTTCCATGGGAATAAAGTTTCAAAGTGGAAGCAAATACACAATTTTCTGTACAGAAAACAATGTAATATAATGTCATAATGGCTTTCTATTGGTTATAAATAGTATTAAATATCAGAGAGAACTATTGGCAAATCGTGAAAAAAAAAGGATGTGACAAGTGGACTCAGCAAGTGGGGGTGATTTTCTAGTTTATGGCTCCATAAACAAATAAGATTGACAGCTATAAAACTTATGCTTTGTCTGAATAATAACTATATTAAAATGATTAATTTACATTAAATTCCATACTTTCTGGAGAGGTGGTAAATAAATTAGAGAAGAGGAGAGACCTAGAGAGCAAATGTCACAATTTTCATACCTGGGGAGATTGACATTAACATTTGGTTTATTAACTACATTTTGATGCAAAGTTTATTTGTATACATTTATAATAAAGTAGTTTAATTAAATTTTGAATGTAACTGTAAAAAGGTTATGACATGCAGAAATGGGTACCCTCATGGAAAGAGCTACGAGTCATTATTTACTACTTACCCTGTTTTTAAGTTTATATTAAAACTTATACCTATGTTACATGGTAAAAAGAACAGTTATTAGCTAAGAAATGTTTTCTTTGTCAGTCTAAACTTGAATACTCAAAGCTCACAACTTGACTTAGGTTATTTACAATACATTTCTACTCAAATAATCAGGTACCACAGGTATTGAGAAGATCAAGTCTAATTACAAGATCATATGATTACTTTGCTCATGAAGATCATCAATTAAATTCCTATAAAAGTTGTACAAACTTTACAGTGTAAGAAGTCTATGAATTTTTTTTCTTCTTAAAATGAAGATATAATCCACCTATACTTCTCACTTTCTTTTTGCTAATTACACAGTTTTTTTTAAAGTTAGTAACTGCACCTTTTTCTTCAGGTACACATTTGAAGATTTTACAAGTTTCTCTACTTCTCCTGCCAGATCTCTGCTCATCTCTGGAGAACAGATTGATCCCAAGGCACTCAGTGCAAGTCCAGCTACAAACTGGGTTTGGCTTGTTAGATCACTGCAGAAAACAACAACAAACAAAAAAGAGATTTTAAATTATATACAATATCCAGATACTATCATGACTAATTACATCAAAATGAAAAAAGTTTAGTCTACCATTGTTGCTTAATAATACATTACTAGGAATTAAATCAATAATTGCCAGTCATACTGAGAAAAAGCATAAAAAAATTTCAGGTCTCTTTTCTAGGCCTAGAAATTTTTATATAAAAACAAAGTATTGAAAATCATTTTTGAAATAAAAATTTAATTTTTCAGTTACAGAAAACTTATTACTTAAAAGATAACTGCACAAGCATATGTAATTAAATACTTATCATTATGCATACTGAAGGGTCAGAGTGAATATTACATTCAAAATTTCATTAAAACTGTTTATCAATGTATGTCAATAAGCTTGGTATCAAATCATAGTTTATAATTCAGATTTTTATATTATACATGTTCTAATTTCTTGCTTTCAAAAGAAAATATCTAAATAAATTCTTAGTCTTCACTTCTCTGTGGTACGTGACACATTTGTGTTCCAAATTGCTCATCTTAAATTTTCTTTCTATCTTTACATGATCTTCTGAGTATCCAATTTATTTATAACCATTAAAAAGAGCAGTTTTTTCTTTACAAGTTTCTTTATACAATTATTTCAATTTGTTGCCCATAGATAAATACTGAACCCCAGTTTCATTGTTTATGATCATGTTTTTATGCTCCAAGCAACTAATAGATTTTTTTGTACTCTAAAAAGCATATTTGAAATTAACACATAATTTTGTGGACAACCAATATGGTATGAAAAGCTAATGCTAAGGAAGTATTTATTGTGTACAAATTACTGAAATAAGTTTCATCCCTAATGTAATTCCAAACTTTCTTGTTTTTTATGTATACCTTTTACTTGTTATAAATTTTTTACCAAAAGTAACTAAAATATAAAAAGTGGATGAAAAAAATTAAATAAAAACATCAGCTTGAGCTAACTGCATCATGTTATTGTAACCTGATTGGTTGTTTACACTAAGTTCTTATGCTGTGGTTAATTGCCTGTCATGAACTTAGATAGTGTCTAAAGAATAAAATTAAAAGCAAGCATATATGAAAATGTAAGATAGTTAAGTCTATTAGTAGAAATAAATGTAATTGTCTGTTATAATCTGCTGTCATTCTAGAAAAATAAATTTCATTTTTCATTTCATTATACACTGATAATTTTTCAATGGTTAAGTGTTATGGTAGAGAAAATAAGATATAAAGTGTAAGGTTTAACCCCAAAAAACCTTTCAATATTAATCTAGGAGATTTTAAAGGATATGCAAATGAATTAGGAAACTATATGAATAAAAAAAGAATTATTATTAGCATAAAAAATCACCTTTCATTTATACTAACTCAGTAAATGTTTTTTTAAGTTCACAGAAAATCTTTAGTAAAAACACCATATTAAAAAAGTCTAATTTTTTGTATCCAACAAGCTTGTAATGTTTACTGAAAGCTTGCCAAATTCTGTGAAGATACACTTAGCATATTCTGAGTTATAGTATTCGATGACGAGGAACCCACTTTGAGACTAATAATAGTTAGAAACGGCTTGAATGGGTAATGAAGAAAAACTTTAATATAAGTTTAACATAACAGTAAATAACATAACAAGAAAATTACAACATCAATGCAACTTAAGTAATAATTCCAACTTGAAAACAAAACATTTAAACAAATCATATTGTATATTTATTGTTACTTTAAAAAGAGTAAATTAAAACTAAACTTACTTTTTTAGGGAATTAGTAATTAACAAATGCACATCTTGCCGTTCATCTAAGAGAAGTGTTGCCCCTAAATATCCCACTCTTTTGTCTATGAATCTTGGTGATGCTATTAACTTCAAGCATTCAAGCTGGAAAAAAAATGCAAAAGGCATAAAGAAGATTTTCATTATAAATTAAGTTACATTTCTCAGAAACTGAGTATATAATATGTTAATGAACTGTCTATGCATTACATTAAATTAAGTAATAACTTATGTTGCATGGAAAGTCTATCTGATAGCCAAAATTATTATATATAACATTTACAGCTACAATTTATGGAAAAGAAAAGTGAGGCTTCAAACTGATACTTTGTATTTCATAAACGAAATACAATTATGCAGAAATTACTTTTGTTTGTTTTGTTGTTAAGCACAAAGCTATACACAATGGGCTATCTTACAAATGTTCTCCACAACTAACATAAGAAAAAATTTGTAATGAGGTTCAATATTAGTTTAAAATTTTCCTAGAATGTTAAATGATATTTTGTCACATCGCAAAAAAAAACAAAACAAAAATAAAGCTATGCTTAATCTTATGACATTTGAAAGTTCCTTTCCTTAACATTTTAAAACAAACCTGGCCAAAATGAGCAGGATAACCCAACATGTGAATGTACAGTAGCTTGGCAACATTGCGACATCTCCATGTGTTGTCCTCCTCTCGAAATGTTGAACGAATATAAGCACATTCTTTCTGTACTACTGCTCTTTCATCAGCTGCTGTCTTACATGCTCGTATTTGTCTTATAAGATCCCTCAAACGAATGGAAGAAGGTAAACCCCCTGTTAGTCTGTAAAAATATTTACAATCATTAAATCTTAAATCTAAATGTATTTTCACCTTCTAATACACATATATTTTACAGTTTGGAAAACAAGCTGTAAAATAATACAGTAAGCAAATGCATATAACTCAAAATAAAAGGTAAATCCCTCTTAGTTTGTGAAAAAAATAGGTAATCAGTTTCAAAAATAATGAATTTGACTCTTTCACTGCTATTTTCATAGATAAACAGCTCTTCCAGTGCATGGTTATTTCATAAAATAAGTAAGAACATTCAATGTTTAAAAATACATAATAATCTATTGTATAAGTAAAAATTAAAATATACAATTAAAAACTCTACATGTTTTGGTGGAAAAAGTTCCACCATCTTCAGGTTTATTTTTCAATACATAATAAAATAAAAATAAAAAGACTTCATTACTGAGACTTGCAAACTAAGACATTTTAACAATGGTATAAAACTCACATGTATACATTTTACCAAAGTTTGGAAAAATAAATTGTGATATACCACAGTAGCAGTATATGCATATGACTCAGAACAAAAGGTGGAAACACTGTGATCATTGCAGTGGGACAGTTAAATACAACTTTATTACTGTTAAAAATACTTTATCAAAGAGACTGAAAAGATGAATTGTTACACAATAGTAAGAGTATGCACACGAGTTAGTTCAGCCAACAAGCCAGGTTTCCTATGAAACCTATATCAATGAGAAACAGAAGAAGTTATTTATTCTTTGAGTAATGTACATATTTCAATTTAAATTATTTCTCAGAGTGACTATGACTGTAGTAGAAAAACAGATGTTACATACATTCATATCTCCCTGTTAACCTAAAGTTGAGAAAGTACATTTATCTTAAAACCTCACAAAGTAGAATACAATAAACACTATACTTTAATGACACATGATACAGTCTACCATATTAAGGAAATGCCAACTTGCTATATGCGTTACACTATAATGTTTTTTAATTACCACCTTATATTATTAAAATACAATACATACTTCAAGCTAACATCAAACTTAAACTTGACACCTTCCATGTTACTTTTACGTGCAAATGCATCTCATTAACGGCTAACCAATTTCTTTAACTTATTCATATGGAGTACGCTGATATTTTTTCACAGCAAGAACCATATGAAATTATTTTCTACATTTTTTTGTGTGATTTAACATTTGAACTTAAAAGCCATGACTGAGATGATATCTTCAAATGTGAAAATAATAGAATACAGCACAGTTACTGAAATACAAATATAATAATAATCAAGATAAATTTAAATTTGTTTGATTAATAATGAAACTTATGTTCAAGTTTTATAAAAGAATCAGAGCATGTTAGCATTTTAAAATAACGTTGTTTTTGCAGTGATATTATTAAGCTGAATGATTACTGAAGTGGGACTAAGTTCAACGTATTATACAAAACACATTATTAAAACTAGATGGAATTTTTTTTAATTCCACTGTTCCTTAAACCTTATATTACTAACTTGTTTTTATACCATTCACAACCAGTGGAGCCTACTTACTGTAACATAATGATTAATTTTAAATCTTTGTCTGTTATAATACTCATTCTCAATGTGGAATGTATAAGGAAAATCAGCATTAACTAGTAGATTGACAAGCAATCTGTTGCATAAATAGTTTAAAAAATTGCACTTAAAAAGCTTACAGTATCCACATGGACCACATCAGTAAATCTAATGTTAAGATGTTGCAAAAACACACATTTCTCAACTATTTTGAGAGTAAGATTGGCTGATTATTCTGAATAGAAAAAGACATCAATGAACCTTTGGATATTTTTGTCAATTCAAACTAGCTGAAAAAGAATATCCATAATTCTTTCAAAAATTTTGCACTTGAAACAAGCTTCTTCCTAAATGAACAAATTAAAAATGTTATTGTATTAAAAATGCTTGATTTGCATTTATGTGAAATTTACTAACTAAAAAATTTATGAAGTTAATCAAAATAACTAAGAAACCCAGAAAGCTATCATTAATATTAAAAAGAACTATTACATGTTTCTTAATTAAAAACAACAAATTTGACCAGAAAATATTTTCTTCTTATGTTAAATGCAAAAATTAAATCAAGGATAATATACTTTGAAGAAATTATAAGGTAATCCCTGTTATAATGAGAAGAAAATGAACAGAATTAGTGAAGTACTACACAATATTTTATTTATATTTTTATTGACATGCAAGAAAAAGACATTCCAAAGCTAATCTGTTTCTTTGAGTTTAGGAAGGGGATTTTCCCTTAAATTCTATTACTGTTGAAGATATGAAAAACTCTAGAGAGCAAATTTATTTGTTACTTTTCTCTTGAGAAAATTTCTAATAAATGAAAAACTACCAATATGATTCCTCTAAAATACAACTTTAGAAATATTGGTAAGCCACTGGTATTTTCAAACAATATTATCCTATAATAAAACAGTGAAAAAAAAAGAGAGAATCCAAACAATTATAGGCCTTTTTTACATAAAAACCTACAGTCAGAAGTTCTTCAGAAATGCATTTAAAAAGCTTGCATTTAATTAACAAGTTTCAGGGTGGTTTTAGATATGGGTTTGCTTACCTTACTAACTTGAAGTTTTCTGAAAGGGCTTCCACTTTTTATTTTTGTATGAGGGCATCCTATGGATGTTGTGTATCTCAACTTTCAGAAAGCCTTTAATAATGTGGCTTGCAAAACATTATGTTGCATACTTATTTATTTCATTGAAAAATTAAAGTGGATACAAAATTGGCTTAGTAATGGAAAAAGATAAATGTATATTCTTCTAATTGGGAGAACATGATTTTTTTGGGATATTTGTTGTTCCTCTATTTCAATGAGTTGGTATGATTGTTGATAACACCCTAAGTAATGAGCTGAGTGTTTAGTTGTTTAAAAAAAATCAAATAAAGTTTTAGGTTTTATATACAAGTTATATATATATATCTGAAATTTATATAGTAAGTAGGTCACAGACACAAAACACTGATGAAACTCCCCGACTCTAGGACTTTTAATTTCTTTAGTTTATTAAAAATTCTGAGAAACATTATACAACAGATAAATTAATAACATTCTATCTCACAATCACAAAGCAAAACATTTTAGCAGTGATATCTCCTACTATAATGTAAGTTAAAAGATGGCATATTCAGTGGTAACACTGGGAACATAGCTTGGAAATCAGTGAACATCCAAACTAAATTCCTACAGAGGAATCATGTAAATGGGGATATTCTGTGCCCCCTATGCAAGATTTTGAGTAGAAGCCTCAAAACCAGAGATAATTTCATAGAAAATAGAATTCTCACTTGAAATGTATTTCTTCATACTATATGACACTTTTTTAAATGTTGCTAAAAACGTTTCTGTTCAAATATTAGTTAAAGGTATTTGTATTTGAATATTCAGATATTCATTTCAGCTCAGTGTGGTTCCTTATTCTTAATTGGTTACAGGAGCCTTAATAACACATGAATCATACAAAAATATATATTTAAAAAATTACAATATTGCAATTAATCCCACTAATTACAATTGACATTTCCTATATATTTTACACAGAAAATTACCAATTCCACCCACATTTTTCTTTTGGTAACAAGCAAAAAAAAAACAAATGGATCACATAGGTTGTGAACAGTATATAGTTAAATTCATAATTTCAGAGTTGAATAATTATCACTTCAGAAAATCCTCATTCCATGGAGTTCTTTATCTTTGTGCTTTATTTTATTTTTTAATCGAAGATTTGAGCCATGACAGCTAAGTTGGCAAGATCAAATAACTGGCAGAGGGCTATTAAGATAATTGCAGGAATGGAAGGATTAACTTATGAGGATAGATTAAGATCTATTATTTTCTCTTGAGAAAAGAAGGGTAGGAATGATCTTATTTAACTTAATAAAACTATCTTGGTGATCAATAGGATAAAGGAGTCTGATTTCTTTGAGCAATATTCTGAATACAAAAGGACAACAAGAAACAAGTTTCAGATTTGGAAAAGACACGCTAGGCTCCAGTTAGGACATTTTACTTTTGTAACTAGATGATTGGCTTACAGAACAAGTTGCCATCGGCAGTAGTGAAAGCTGGCATTTTACAAGAATTTAAAAGGGAAATTCATAATTCCTCAAAAAATAAAGAGGTTTAAGTTTTTACTTTTTCTTGAAGAACCAAATGGTTCCTTGTTATCCATTAGTAATGTTAAAATGAATGCTGTGACAGTTATTATATGGTAGTAACTTTTCTCAATTAGTATAGCATAGATCTTGGCTAGTATGATGCAAGAGTCTCAAATTCAAGGGCCACAGATGGGGCAGCTTCTAAACATCTTGTTCTATTACAAAATATACATAATGCTCCAGATAAGATGTGTATCCCCATACACAATACTTTTTTTTTTACATAAAACATGCAGCAAGAGTAAAAAATACTTTTGCCTCTAAATAATTCATAAATTCTTTTCTTCACTAAAATTTAAATTTCTAGTGGGGGAAAAAGAAAAATTCACAAATGAGTAATTCAATTACCAACTGGTAATTATCTGTAGTTCAGGGTTACTGGAGAACTGAAAACTAATTGTCTAATTTTATGAATCAACATAAACTGAAATTAACTCAAGTGATCCTTAATAGAACGCTACTACAGAAACAAGAGAAAAGCAAGCACCTGGTAAATACAACAAAGCAGTACCAAAATGTCAGGATGACTAATAAACATGTACAACAAGAAAGTTTTCAATATTGCAATATGTTGAGGAGTAAAATGCTCATTATGTAACAAGATTCTCTGGGTCATCAGATAGATACCAGTGTATGTATGAAAATGAGCACAAACTGCTACGTTAATTGTTCTTTGACATCAAAATTTAAGACTTAAAAATACTTAGTTGCATCTAAACAAATATTGAATTAAATAATTTTTAAAACTAAAAATACATTTTATATGAAAATTGACAATATGGCATAATATACTCAGATATGTCTGTTATCAGAGGTAAAGAGTGTATAATACCAACATTGAAGATTAATGGAAAAATTGTTTTAAAACATAAAAAGACAATTAAAAATACTTACCTTTGTTGTAGATTTCAACTGCTTATTTTTATGTCTTGCTACATTCTTATGAAACTTTCCAATGAAGCTTCTATTTTATTAAACTATCAGTTTTATTCTTTTCATTTGAAACTACACAGTTTCATTGTGTTTATGATCACTAGTTTACAATAAAAATAACTTTTTTTTACCATATCAAAATTATAAGCGATGCAAACTGACTTGTGTTTTTTAAATACTAATCAAATGGTTTCATTTAACATATGCAAAAAGTATGTGCCTATATTATATAGGAGGCTGCTCAACAACAAAGCACCAAATATCAACACACCTAAAATCAGAGAAGACATCTTAACTGAAGAAAACAGCCCAAGATGCCAAGATACTCTCACTGAACCATGAAGCAATCTTCAGTCATATGACTTCTTTGTTTCATGTCATATTTATATATATATACTCCTGTATATAGGTAACTACTTGTACCTGATGAAACAAAACCTTGTTGAAACATTTAACACTTGTTACCATGTTGAACTTGTAATAAAGTTTTCTTTGTTATCCACTAGTCATCTCCAAACTTTATTGCAAATCTCAATTTTACCCTTTTAAAGGTATCAAAACTATACATGATGCAACAAACAAGGTTTCCTAGTTTTTATGAGGTTTCAAAAATGTTACTCATGAATTAAAAGTTTCTATAAATAAATTTCAAGACTTAAATTAATTTTTTTCTGTCACAGCTAAACATTTTGATCAATGCTATAAACTTTCCCAAAAACCATAACTGATCATTTTTCTTAACTATACAAAAATTATTTTCAAATTTCTATATCCTAAGTGCATCACTTTACACTTCTCAAAAATCAAACTAATTTAAAATTTCTGGTTCACTCACAAAGGTTTTCAGAGCATTAACTTTTCTATCATCATAGCAACATTAGCAAATTCAGGAACATTATCTTCCAAGAAGCTATCTAAATTGCTAACATGGATTACAAATAACCAAGGTTCTATAACAGAACACTCCTCCCAATAAAAGGAACAAACTAGTCCCATTCTTTCAACTAAAAAACACATTAATTACTACTATTGTCTTTTGGCTATCTTGTTAATTTGCTATGCATTTAATTTTTTAACTAATTCTTTAAGAATTTATTAACTAATGTACTGTGTGATACCTCATCAAAACTTCCTAAAAACCAAAACAATAACCAGAAACTCATCTAAGGCCAACTAAGAAACTTCAATAAATTAGTTTGGTATTTAGAAATGCTTAAAACATATGAGTAACAAGGGACCATACTGTCCTTCAAAGCTGTCCTTGAATATCCATCCTTGGGAAAATAAAAAATTTGAACCCATCCTTTACTTCTCAGGAAATTATCAATTCTCCTCTAAAAAGTTGGCCTCCTCTACTACCAATGGCAACTCCTTCTATTAGTCAATCTTCAGTTAGAAAAATACAACTGTCTTAATTGGAGCATATCTTGTCTTTCCCATTAGTTAGGCAAAATTTTCCTTTGGTGAATCCAAGTTCACTTTCATTTGTAACACAATTCATTATATTTTAAGACCTTTCCCAAACCTTTCTTTAGACCTTTCCCAAATGTTCTAATACCTAACATACTTAAGTGGAACCTATCTCTAACACATAATCGACCCTTACCTTAAAATCTATCCCACAAGTTCAAACAATCCAACTCTTGTTGTAATTAATCCTAATAATTTTTCATTTCAACTTGGGATCCTTCTAACTCATTCCTGTTCAAGAGATAACACTCCAGAAGAGGCCATGTCTATTTCTATCCCTAAAACCTCTGAAGTTCTTTATATTTCTTGAGCAGCTCTTCTGATTCACAAATTCCAACATTTGCTCCTATATATAAATTACTAGAGGTGAATTTTCCCTGGTATCAGCAACTAACCTATCAACATACTCTATAATATCCTGTACTTGAGCACCTGCCAACCATATTGTAGTCCTAGTCTTTCTATGCTCTCCACTAGAAATAACTTTATCAGTATTCTTAATGAGAGACTCCTCATCACATTTGTTATAAACCTCTTCATCACCTCATTCTTAATTACACAAAGTCAAAAGTTCAAATCTATTAGAGACTGGTACCAGAATGCTAACTAAATTCTCTTTAGTCTTAACATTTTTGCTCAAGTGCACCCTTGTAAATCCAGCATTAAACTTTTAGCCAGTGACCCATCCATCCATCTTTTGGACAGATAGTTGTCTATTAAGATAGAAAACATCTTGAACAGACAGGCAAAAAGATGAGATTAATTTTAATACAACTAAAGTATATTTATCTACATAAAAGTGAAAACATCTTTGTCCTTGAGGATTAAATAAAGTATTCACTTCCTTCTGCTATTCCCTCGTGTTTTGTGTACAAGCATCAATGTTAATCAGTACTTTGGCTTAGGTATTTCAGTGTTCATAATATCAAAGAGTATTACAACATGAAAGAGTTAAACAGTCATTTCATAGCCAAAGTGTAATAGGACTTCATTTACAGCATGACATGAACAAAAATTTTCAAACAAAAATTTTAAGCTTATCTCGACCAAAGGGGTTATACTGATATCTCCTAATTTATTTTCCTTCTCACAGTGTTGAGATTTGACCAAATTGTATGGTAACAATATTTTTGCTTAGAACACTCTCAGTCAAGATGATCTACATCTAACAAATATAGCTTCTTTTCAATAAATTATTAGCTCATTTGTATATGTTGTTTAAATACATTTATTTAAAAATCATACCAATAACATAATGATCTTAGTTATCAAAATATTTTGCCATCATCTAACCATAAAGTTGATAAGAACAAGGTAGTTATGTCAACATTCAAAATTTCCCGTTTAATGATATATTTTTTGAACCAGAACAGTATAGAGATCAAAATATTAATTCCCGATGAATTTAACTTTGCTTGAGAAATTTTATCTTTTTAGTTGGCTTTCCCGATCGGGAATGCATGGTCCATCCATATTCCTTTAGTCATGACCAATGAAAGTTAACATTTTGCAAGGATTAAATAATAAAAAAAATTCATCAGAAAATGCAACTTTATATGAGGGAGTGTAATCTTCCCAATAGCTTTCCCTTGAGTGATTGTAACCTTATTTTATTAATGCTATCCCTGCTGTATAATAAAGGTCTATAAACATAAAATTCTTGATTTTATCTAATTTGTTAAAAAAAAGCAAGATCCAACTAATATAAAAGAAGTTAAATTTCAATTATTATATTCTTATCAGAAACCGAGTTGTGTGTTTCATTAATTTGATTACCTATGACAAATTAGAGTTAGGTATAATAATCAAAATTACAATTTAGTTGATTAATGTCATGAAGATAATCAACTAATCAAAATTATTTCATCTATTCACGTAACTGAAATATTGTCATTATGGTTTCTCATTATTTTTCAATTAATTCAAGGTAGTTTAGTGTCAGGACTTGCCCATTTACAACATTTGTGTTTAATGTATATTACATAAACAAGATTATGATTACCAGATACATAAGGTAAAATGAAAAAGTATCTAATTTCTTACAGGTGCAAATTTTGGATATAAATGAATAATTATAACAACATCTTTCAATCCCTGAACATTTCCTTGAAAATAAGAATAATATGTGTTCACCTATTACATAAGAAGAGTTAGCATACTCAATATATTGTACGTAAAGCACATAAATGCATATAAACATCTTAGTTCTTACAAGAATATTGTGAAATTATGAAAATGAATGAATAAATGTAATAGATTCTTACAAATGCATAAATTTATGTAAGCAAAAAAAAGCTGTGTATATCAACTGCGTAATGTGTGTGAGATTAGAGAATATACATCAGTTTCAGATAAATATGTAAATATCAGATTTCATGCCAATGAAATGTGAAATTATGGATTTCATTGTATAAAAATAAGGGTATCTTTATACAATAAACATACAAGTGATAAATGATGAGGCAAAAAAACAATGAAGTGTACATATCTATTGTGTATGGAGACTGAGTTGGTCGTACGTCTGGCAACAAGATGATCCAGTACTCAAGACCTGGAAAGCATTGCAGAAGGTCAAGTACAGGGTTGCTATGGTGTTTATGAATATTTTTAGAATCACATAAACATATTCTCTCATATGGTATGAAGTAATGAAGATCACTTTTTTTAAACTGTACCACACAGTGGGTGCAATTAAGATTCAAGTCTGCTACAGTAAATGGGTTAAATGTAGTGTATTGTATCTTTAAAAGCCTCTTGAAAGTCAAAATCAAGCCAAAAGTTCTAAATCATAACCCAATCATGGCACCTATCACACCTACAAATTCCACCCTTATACTACCTCTAATCATACTGAAGGTAACTAGTCTTTATTCTACATTTTAAATCTACCAACTAATAAAAAGTGTATATTTCAGTAAAATTAAGGTATTTCATGAATTATAGATTAATCTAACACTAATTTTCCATATCAACTAATACTGATACTATTATCTGGTAATACAGCAGCTACAATGCATTCTAACTTGTTTAATGGAAACCTTCTATAAATGCTTTTCTATATGACCTTTTGACAATAGATTTCAATATCATACTAAAAAATAAATCATACTAGTAGGATTTCCTTCTGCTTCTATTGTTTTGAATCACAACTTTTACAATATAACATCAATTTCATGTTTGCAACCAGTGTTCACAAAGATAAATCAACAAGAAAACTAATTATTGCAAAAATTATTTAAAATCAATTTAAGCCCCCTAAGGTTTGAGCTACAATGCCAACAAAATACTTTCAGATTCCATTTTTAACTTTGACCCTATCTAGTCAATAAATACCTGCATAACAAATTTCAAATAAAAATATAATAATTCTAACTGTTTTCAAAAAAATTTTAATCAAAAATATTTTATCATTTTGTAACATCTATTAAGTGTAATTCACAAAGAAAAATGTTCAAATTTTTCATTACTATGGAACTTTCAGAAGTTTTCTGCCTGTCTCAAAGATTCAACATAAAAATTCTAAGAAATTACCATCCCTTGAGTATATTATCACTTCCTTGATTTTCAAGAATTTTACTCTTTTTTTGCCAAGGTTTTGTACATATCTTGAGTGCCACCCTTTTATGATATCACATCAAGTGGTTTGATCAATTACTAGTGAAGCAAAGCTTTGGAAACAGCTAAAACGAAATATTAAATATAAATGATTACAGCAAAAATTAAATTTTTCTCACAGTAGAATAAATATAGTGGTTTGAGCAGTAGTTCATGGTTTTGTGGGAAATTTGTTAGTCAGAACTCCCGTAACACTGACAGGAGACATTTAATGGGAGGTTTTGGAGACTTGAGAACAGGCCATAAAGTTGGGAATATTTTCATAGTTTCTTTAGATCTTCTTTTCATTTGTGAAAGTGTCTGAAAGTTAACCTGCATCTGTTTGAAAACTTCAAGGATAAACTTAGTTAGATTTAGTAAGTAGGTGAAAGCAAAACATTCTGATGACTCAAATCCTTATTAATTGAATACTATTAAGTTTATCATATTCAAATAATAACAAATAGGTTTGCTAACCAGCTACAATAATTATTTCTACTATGATTGCAATCATTATGGATTTTAAATTTAAAAAATTATTATCCTTATCACTCATATTAAATTATACTTTTTTATTTGATCATTGATTTATTTGATTTACATGAAACCAATGGAGGACTAATGCATATTTCAAACACAAAAATAATGGCTGACACATGGTCATCTCCATTTCACCAAGTAGGAAATGTTCAGACTACCTTTAAAAAACTTGAGATAAAAATTTTAGTCAAAATAATTGTTTTTACCAAAGAAAAATTATTTCTTGCACAATCTGCACAAATGGCAACTGCCAGCAGAAACAGTGATTAGTAACAATAGGCTTGTAATTTTTCGGATCTTCCCTCAACCCCATTCACTATAATGCAATAACATTTAACGTAAATGGATGTGTACATTATAATATTTAACTGATAATTTTTCACAGAAAAACAAATGGAAAAAATATTTCAAGTGTTTTGCTTCCACATGATTATAAAATATTACATTATTACATTCATAATTATAATAGAAGTTTGATTACAGTTACTTGTCTGATGTAAAATATTATTGCACTTATAAACATAATAGCAGTTTGATTACAATTGCTTGACATTTCAGATGAAGCAACCTCTAAAGAAAGTATAAAGAAATACAACCAAAAACATTTATTTTTCTGCTATTCACTGAGGCACTTTTTGCAATCATGTAAAATGTTAAGAAAATGTGTTAACATAATATATAGACAAGGGATAATTTGGTCCTTCAGACTGTCTTTATACACTCACTCTTCAAAAAGTAAGAATCTAAACCCACCCTGTACTTTTAAGGAAATCATAAATCCTCCTATTCCAATAAAGAACTGACCTCTACTACTACTGACATCAACTCCTTCCATAAGTCAATCATCCAGTTTTTATATCTTCCCATCCTATCATTTTTAGAACACAGCAGAGACTTTAAACCTATTGATCACACCTCTCACCCATTTTTTCTCAAGATAAAACAAGCTATGTTAACCTATCCTTACAAAATAATTCTTCCACCCAAATATCAGTCTAATCCTCCTCCTCTGAACCCTTTCCAGTAAGTCAGTATCCTTTCTGCTATAAGGTCAACTTAACATAATATTCCAAGTAAGAAGTGGTAAATTTAGAGCAGACTCTTAATGAATTATTGGTTTGAAACCATATTTCAATCCTTTCAAACTATATGCTTGAAAATAACAACTTAACATTAGCTTTTATCTCATAAATTCAATATTTTATTTTATAATGAAGTGTTATTTTAATATATATTTTAAAATGTTATATTAAAAGTTGTTTGTTTGTTGTCTACATTATATGTATATACTTTTCCTGTCCTTCCTTCCCATCTAATTGAAAGTGGCAGTTAATGAGTCAGAACTTTGTAATTGCAATTTAAAACTTTGAAAACATTATTAATTTGTCCAACTACTTTAAATAAAGTAGCGATAAACAGAAGAAAACAAAACGATGAGTTATGTAATCCAAATAACGTTACTTATAACAAATGAGTTCCATGTTGCATCAACATTTCTCTTAAAATTACAGAAAAAAATCCACACACTATACAACTTACAAATCTAGGCAACTTAAATACATTCGTAAAATATAAGGTTGGGCATCGTGTTTCTGAAAAATTATCTTCATAATCTATAATCTGTAAATCTCCACGTCCCAAATCACTTTGCCAAGCCCATAGGCTAGCTAAGGTCAGTCAGTATACACTGGTTAAATTATGACGACAGCGAAGCCTTACTAGTGCAAGTACTAGGCCTACTGTACTCATCTATATAAATACACACCTCTAAAAAGGTCCTTTGCCTTTCTCTAAGATAATTTCAAATACTTTTTCACACAAACATACATGTAACACAGAGTAACATTTCATAATTTTGGAATATAATGTTCAAAAGTTTTTTTACTTACTTAGATAATAAGTTATTTTTTGTCTCCATTCTGCCATCTCGTGAATCATAAATTAAGTAAATCACGCCCACTAGATGTCGCCAAAGCATTATTAAGTGTGATGTAACTTCAAATATTTGCTCAATAATAATATACAAATATGTTTTGGATTGTTTGTGAAGTAGCAATTTATATTTTATTTTAGTTATGTTATTATTATTATTGCTTATGTTATTTTCTTTCTATCGTTTAACTCAACTATATTTTTATTTACCTTAAACTCAACTGGCTCCTAGTGTATATTAAATGCATCAAATTTACATCAAGAAACCGACACGAGGTTCTCCTAGCGGTGATGTATGGATATTAAGTTAATCTATGATTATGAAAATATATATGTGAGTGTGTGTTGTTAGTCATGTAACATATAATCTATTGATCAGGTAAAGAAAATAAAAAGCCTTCTCTGAACTTGTGAAGTTAAGTGAGAGTGTTATGTTTGTTTGTAATTAAGCACAAAGCTACACAATGGGCTATCTGTGCTCTGCCCACCACGGGTATCAAAACCCGGATTCTAGCGTTGTAAGGGGGGGGGGGAGTGTTGGGAAGAACAAGTTAGAGAAATTTATATTTGTAATTATTAAAAGAAATACATTATTGCAGATACTCCCTTGATTACCTCTCGCCGTGAATTGCATCTGCTAGTCTGACCAAACTAGCATTGTGGTGAAACTGGAAATATTTTCGGATAAAAAAAGAATTTGAGGCTGACGAAGGCTCATATACGTGATAAGTTTAGAAGCTTCCAGCTTTGTCATCAATGGCTATTTTCATAGAGATGGCAAAACAAATTTGATAACAGCAATCCCGAAACAACTTCCATGGGTATTTGTCCCTTTGATATGTTCAAAGTACGTGAGAAGGTCGTATAAGAGTGTGGAATTGGGAATCATCTGTTATGTTTTTATTACTCTAATATTAAGTTCAAGTAACTGTACTTCTTAATTAATTATATGACTCCACGAGTATACTTTGCCTCTTTAGTGGCCCCATCTATTGCCTTTAGACTGTATTATTCTGTTTTCATGTCTTTTAAATCGTATGAGCAAATTTTACAGCTTATAGGAGTCTGCGCTGCTAATTATATAATGCATTCTTATTCGTTTCATACAAAACAAATATCTTATTAATAAATACATTTTAAAATATAGTTTCTAATGTATTTTTTGAAAGGTGAGTGAAAACATTTTTATAAAAATATTAACTTCATGTTAACACTTGTAGTTTGCTTGTTAAGCGCAAAGGTCAGCAAAAGTTTCCAAATATGCAAGGCTAAAATTCGGGGCTTGATTCCCTGCGATAGACAAATCATAGATAGCCCACTGTGTAATTCTGAGTAAAAATAACAACATACCCCTTTTTAAGTTAAAAATATACATTATATTCATTCGTTTTATTTTAATTTTGCTGTAGTAAATATAGAGTAATTACAAAGAAAGTATCATGGTTTATAGCGCTAAAGCTCCTAAACTGTAAGGCGTATTGAGTATCACTTCACGTTATACGTATGTGATAGCACTATCCAATACACCTTATAGTTAAGGTGTCATGGCAAGCTGAAGTGAGGTGCATATTTCTTGCAGAGTATGAAATGTTCACGACTATTCGTCGGAAAGTTTAGGAAATAAAATCTGAACATGTACATACATTCGGGGCACATGAAGTTTGGATAGATTGTTCGTTTCGGATATTTGCGCACATTTACACCGAACTGTCTGTGTTAACTGTCTCTAATTTTGAGCTGATTGACTAGAAGAAAGACAGCTGATCAATATCACATACCGCCAACTCTTGGGCTTCTCTTAATCGAATAGTATGATTTTACTGACATTCTGATAACTCACTCGTGGCCCCAAAGTACGGAGTGCTATTTTTATTTTCGGTAATAGGACGCAAACCATCAGCCTTTGGATCTACAGCCTGACACGCTAACCACTTAGCCCCTTTATGTTATTAAACAATAATATTTAGTGTGATAAAATCAACTTTTCTTTCGTCATGATACTGGAAAGAAAAGGCAAGGTGAAGATTTAGCAGTAAGTTGTGATACTAATTTTTTAAAAATATATGACATCCTGGTTCAAAGGATTGATACTAGTATTCGTTGATGGCCGATTTAACGTTTGTTAAACCGCACGGTCGACCAATACTATAAGAAAACAAAATTCACGAGGTAATGATGTGGACGGGACAAAGAAAGCGAGTTTACTTGTTGAATTCAGGGGCACTTTCTTTAACCAGTTCTACTAGGAGATTGTCGAGTAAAGATGTACTTTAAGATCATCATTTTTAGTTCGATAGAAGTCTAACCCGAGAGAGAGAGAGAAAGCTGTGCTTTCTGTTTGCTTGTTAAAATAAAGAATTTGTTCGTTTATTTACATTGTCCATTATTGATATTTCACATTTAAACTCAGTCAAGTTATTAAACACAAAATACTTCTCTTATTTCCTGATTGAATCTGCTGTTATTTGCGAGTTTACCTATGTTATATTTGCCGAAAAATCGGTTTTAGCTGAAAATACTATATACATACACATTAATAATGGGCAACATGTATCTGCATGATATATGCTTTATTTTCTTTGAATCCCATATACCAATTGGAAATTTAACATGTCGATTACGTTCATCAAAAAATTAAAGATTAATCATGAAAAAAAGCTATAAAGTAAAGCATCCTTACGTCTTATTTTAGGAAACCTTACACATTGAAAATCATAACGCATTGTGTAAATTTGATATCAAGTATTCATGTATAGAAATAGCGTACTGCAAGGAACTCCATCAATTTCATATTACTGGAAACTTGACATTTTTCAAGATATCTGTAAGATAATATTTCAGTTTATCTTGAACGATATTAATAATTTTATTTTTCATACTTTGTGCTACGTTGTTCACTATAATTTTCAAGATCCAGTTGAAAAGGAATGTTAGGCCTGTGACTTTTGTAATTTGAAGTCCCGAAAACGTAACAACTTGAATATCTTTGAGACTAACTTGTCCTGTGTTTGTATCGGCGTTCAGGATCAGTTTCACAGCTACTTCACTGACATGTCCATATATCTCTCCACTGATTTGGAATATCCACATTCTAGCCCAGTAATTTCCAGAAAGTGTGATACTCGTGACTGATATTCTTCCATCCAACTCAGTTACTGCGGTTGCGTCGTTATGATTTATGCTGACATCACCAGATCTCTTCAAGTTTGATAGGCCTCTCACTACTATGTTTGTCACTCTAAGATCTGACTCGTCTAATGCTACGGGGATACTAAACGGGTCAATCGCGGAAACGTATTCTTTGTTGTTTCGAAAATTTGAAATAACTTCATCGATATAACGATTCATGTTTCCGTCGGTTAAAACCATTTCTAGGAGGAAAAATAATATAGTATATAATAAAGTTTTATATTTTTTTGTAATTCGCGATTTTACCTAGAATATAATAAAAATACTGAGCTTTCATGAATGTAGACTAAAACGTTAGCATAATTCAGCATACAGACTAAATAGCACAGTGTAAACCAAAGATTGCATCATGTAAATTTCAGATAGCATTAACTACATAGATAAAAGTTACGTCATATATATATACATGAACACACACAACTAGCATGATGTATGGTAGTTTGCTTCATAATTTTCTATAGTTTGTATGATAAACACTAAATATTACATCATTATATTTTAGATGTTACATTGCATTACAAAGGCTCATTCCGATGCTAACCATTATGACACACTGATACAGCGACAACTGCGGTCAAAGCTAGAACTAAAGCTGTCCTCATCTTCTGTTGTCAAAAGATTATCTGAAATAAAGAAAAATATTTTCAGAAGTTATTTCGGAAACATGGAACATTATAAAGTATATAAAATATATTTGGAAGTATGTAATTTTATTTTTTTGCTTTTTCCATAATATATTAATATTTTAATTCCACGAAATTTTTTTCAAACCTTTGTTGACTTACAGAAGTGTAGGAATAAAATCAAAACAGTGATGTTAACGTTAAAATATATTTGAAAGAAATTGTAGTACAACAGTATTTTAACAGCTTTCATAACATATTAATATCAACAACTAGGCTGAAAATAAGGATAATTATAGGTTAATTAACTTCAAACTACTTTTGTAAAGTATATTGTCAACAGGTCAATTTTTATGCTTGCTAGAGAGAGCTCGTCATTACGATGACATTAAGATCTAGAAAATTCATGAAAGTTAAGAATCGAGAAGCTTCGTGCAATATGTAAAAAAAAAAAGATACTGTTACGTCTCCGTTTGTTAATTGATTTTCCGTAACTTCGTTCCGACGAAACTTTAGCGACACAAGTCCTT